GAGGGGTTTGTCATGCTTCTTTCCTAGTGGGAAATACATTGCCTATGTTAACATGTTAACAGCTGGAGGAAATCCTCATGTTTTAAGTTAGACGGAGAAGGAGCTCATTCATTTAGTAACTACTAGGAAGTAGAGGCGCTACAAAGCAGAGACCATGTAGAGGAATTCCGAGTTCCAGAATAAGTGGAAAGGGAACTTTCTCATATCGCATTCCTTTATAAGAGGTAGAGGAGCTCTCTTCATTGCTGTTTAAAGAGGCAAAAGCTCTGTCACGCTCTCCCGTTCCCCTCTCCGATTACGAAGTACAGGGGCTTTTGGCTTTATGTCTTCGTTCGCTTTGTCGCTCCTTTCCTATTGGGAAATAGATTGGTGCCTCTGTTAACAGCTAGGCGAACTCTTCATGGATCCCTATCCGATTAGGACTTAGAGAGGCATGAAGCGATAAAGGAGCTGTCTTTTTCTTCCTGAGGACTGGAGGGGGTTTGTCATGCTTTATGCTTTGAGGGACTCTTCATGTCTTGTTAAACAGCGATGGCGCTCTTCATTTAATACCAATAAGAAGCAGAGTAGCTACAAGGTACAGACCAGGTAGAGGAATTTCGAGTTCCAGAATCGTTTCCCTTTCCTTTCCGATTGTAAGTGGAAACGAACTTTCTCATGCTCTATTCATCTCAGTCCTTAAGAGGTAGGAGACGCCAGCTTCATTCCGTCAAATCATGCTCCCATCCTATTGTATCATTGAAAAATGGACTGTGTTCCTGTTGTCTTTTTTGCCAGCTAGAGGAAACTCATCATGTGTTGAGTTCAACAATGAATGGCTCTTTAATTTAATGCCAAGATGTCGTAAGTAGAGGAGCTACGAGGTAGGGACCAGGTAGAGGAATTCCGAGTCGCAGAATCGCTTCTCTTTCCTTTCCTATTGACAGTGGAAAAGGAACTTTCTGATTTCCTATTCAGATAAGTAATACCTCATTCCTTTAAGAGGCGGAGAAGCTTGCTTCATATCGCTTCTCTTTCCTTTCCTATTGAAAGTGGAGACGGCACTTTTTCATTTTCGAAAAAAGTATCTCATTCCTTTAAGAGGCAACGGAGCCGCCCTGTTTCCTTTAAAACAAGGCGGTTCAACAGTACCAAATTTTCTTAAAGGTTGTCTTGAAAAAAATTGGTACTGTTGAACCGCCCTGTTTTCTTCAAACACGGCAGCACGCTTCCAGAAAAATTGCCACCTTGCTATCTCTCTCCTCTCTCACTTCCCTTTCCCTTCTCTCCTTCTAGTTTCTTTTTTAACTGATAAAACACAAGAAAGGAACTTGCGTGATAAAGCAGTGGAAGGTAAAGCAGAGGGTGACTCCTTGCGCGTCGACCTTGCCGTACTTCATCATATCCCTCTTCTCGGCCTATCTCTTCTGCTCTTTTTTCTTACTGTTCTCCTTTTCATAATTCTTCCTGTTTAGTTGTTCTTATTTCGAAAAGAAAGAGGGAAGGGAGAGATAAGGAGGGAGGAAAGATAAAGAAGAGTGCCATCTTATCTGTGCCTTGTTTTGTCTCTCCTTCTTCTCTATTCATCTCTCTTCTATTCTTTTCTTTGCCATTCCATTGAAACTGGATTCCTGTTATCTCTCCTCTCCTCTCTCCTTCTCTCTCGCTCCTCTTCTCCTGTTCCCCTCTAAACGATTGCTCTTTACAGATAGGTGCCCCCTCTCCTCTTCAGGAAATTTCCTTTCCCTTATTTTGCTTTTTGAAGCGAAGAAAACAACAGATAAGAAGAGAGGAAAGTGAATGACTAAGCAAAGAGAGGAGCCCTTCAATTTCCCTCCCTATATCTGACGCTATTATTCTTTCTTGGTTGTCGCCCTTCTTTCTCCCTTGAAGATGCAGAAAACGATCAGGAAGGACACCCGTTCCATCGCCCATATATGAGAGAAATCATGAGCATCAGCTGGGTTTGCTGCCGATCCAAAATGGGCGTCCTTTTTAATCGCCTTCTGTGTCTTCAAACGAGCAAAAGGACACCCTGACTAAGTGTTTCCTTGTGGTGTCCCTTTTCCTCGCTTGAAGATGCAGAAAACGATCCAAAAAGACACGCGTTCCATCGCCCATATATGGGGAGAGAGAAAAATCATGAGCATCAGTTGGGCTTGCTGCCAATCCAGAGCGGGCGTCCCTTTTAATCGCTTGCTGTGTCTTCAAACGAGCAAAAGGGACACCCTAAGTGCTTTCTTGTGGGGTGTCCCTTTTCCTCGCTTGAAGATGCAGAAAACGATCAAACAGGACACTCGTTCCATCGCCCATATATAGGGAGAGAGAGAGAGAAATCATGAGCATCAGCTGGGTTTGCTTACATGTTCATTGTTCTTCCTTTTGTTTCTTTCTTTCTAACGGAAATGAACAAGAGAAGAGAAAAATTAGATCCAGAAGAAAGATGAAAACGAGCACCGTCTTCTCTTTGCCTGATTTTTGCGCCTCCCTCGCCTGTCGTCATTTCTCTTCCATTCTTGTCATTGCTTATCCCATTAGAGTTGCGTTCCTTTTGATCTCTCCTCTCTCCTTTCTCTCTCTCTCTCTCTCTCTCTCTCTCTCTCTCTCTCTCTCTCTCTCTCCCTTCTCTTCTCTTGTTCTCCTGTAAATCTCAAAAACACACACAAGGAAGCTTCTTTTGCCTTTTTGAAAGAAAAAAGAAAAAAAGAGATGGGGAAACAAATAGAAGAGCTCCACTGCCTATTGTTTCATTCCCTTTCCTCTCGTTCTATGTGTTGTTTCCTTGTCGTTTCAGAGAGCAAGCAAAATGAGGGCAAGGGCTTCCTGAAGAGGAGAGAGGGCACCTATCTGCGAAGAGCAAGAATAGTCTTGTCTTGTTTAATTATAGAGGGAAAGGGAGAGACAAGGAAGGGAGAGATTATAGATAAAGAAGAGTGCCATCTCCTGTGCGCCTTGTTGTGTTCCTCCGTCTCCTTGTTTCTTGTCTCCTCTCTTCTGTTCAGTACCCTTCCAGAAAAATAAAATGGCCTCCTTGCTGTCTCTCCTCTCTCACTTCCCTTTCCCTTCTCTCCTTCTGTTTCCTTTTAACTGATAAAACACAATAAAGGAACTTGCATGATAAAACCTTGCCGTACTTCATCATATCCCTCTTCTCGGCCTATCTCTTCTGCTCTGAGGAAAGATAAAGAAGAGTGCCATCTTCTCAGCGCATTGTTTTGTCTCTCCCTCTTCTCTATTCATCTCTCTTCTATTGTATTCTTTGCTATTCCATTGAAATTGGATTCCTGTTATCTCTCCTCTCTCCTTCTCTCTCCCTCCTCTTCTCCTGTTCCTTTCTAAATGACAAAAACACAAGAAAGGAAGAACAAGAGGGGAATGGAAGCCCTTTTCCTGTCTTCTCCTGTTGCAATAAGAAGGAAAAGAGCATAGGAGATAAGGAAGGGAATTGAAGAGCTCCTCTCGCTACTTTCTCATGCCCTTTCCTTTCTATCTACCACACCAAAACACGACTCTCAGCTTCCAAATAAACCCTATCTAAGCCGGCCACCCCCCGCCCCCCCCCTCCCCCCTCTCCTTTATATGAAATGAACACTAGACACGAACGACGTCCTGTATCTTTTAATGCAGCAGGAGAGAGCTCCTCTCTCTCCTAATGGGACATGAAAGTCCTCTTGTATTCGTTTTCATTGAAAGATCTGTCTCTCGAGGAAATGGAAGATCTACTCTATCTCTTTCTAGTAAACACTTCTTCAAGTAGGAGAAAGGCTTTTTCATAAGTTGTAAAAAAGGAGCTCTGTCATTCCTAAAAGAGAAGGAGAGAGGGGAGCCGTTGGAGGACCCCTTTTCAGAAGAGGCAAGGGCATTCATTACCTACACAGAGATAAAAGAGCTTTCAGATGACCTAGACACATGACTTTTTCGATTGAATTCTGTGGCTCATACTACAATAATAAAACAAAACGCATTTGATTTTTTTCAGAAAAGAGAAATAGCGCAAGGTCTACGGAAAGAACAACTTATTCAACAAAGACAGCAAACATAAAGAAGCAACCGAAACGAATGTTGTGCAATTTAGTTTCAGGTAGCTTCTGTGGGTTTTGTAAAAACAATACGGTATAGAAAAGCGCGTCGGTTAGACCCTTTCTCTTCAAAAACTTTCGGCTAAACCCTACACACCAAATTCGTCAAATTCTGTGGTTAGGCTCGGTTAGACTCTTTCTTTGTAGAAACCTTCCGTCCATCACCCTAGGCCCGAAATCTCGTCAATTCTGTGGTTACTCCCTTTCCCTCAAAAAAACAAGGGTTAACCTGTTGAAGTTTTAGATAAGAAATAGTTATAATGGCTTCCAAAGGTTTAAATGCTTCTGCTTTTGTGGCAGAAGGAGCCAGCAACAGAACGTGTCTGGCCAAAGAGATTAGGGTTTAAATAGTCCAATGTATATAAACGAAAGACCTATGTCAAATCATGCGTAAAGGTTCCTGCCTCATATATATATATATACACATACATACATATGTATATACACACGCATAGATGTGCAAACAACACACATATACACATATGTTTGTATGTACATCTATATGTGTATATGCATACACATATATATATGTGCACATGTACATACGAGGTAGGGTTTATGTTGCTGTCATTGGTGAAGGCGTGTAGGGTTTCGTATGAACACTTGTGAGGTTTAGAGTAGGTTCTAGGGGGTGGTTGGCCTTGCTTCGCGACGTTTCGGCCTCTGCTGCCTCAAGTAGTGCTTCTGGTGGCTCTGTCGATGGGGCTGAGCCTTCGTAAAACCCAGCACCTCTAGTAGAAGGATACTATGCTACCTTACACCCCTAAACGCTAAACCTTGCATTTTCTAAGGGTCCATGTACCCCATGATTATATACTTGGGCCTCAAAGGCCCTGTATAGGAAGTACTTCGAGTATTCCCTACTTACCCTTCGGCATTGCTTTTCGGTTTACCGTTTGCGCTCCTCCACACAAGCCGCCCAAAGCTCTCGCCATACCTCAGGTGCAGCGCCCAGGCGCGCTGCCCACCATCAGCCGGGACCTGCGCCCCTGGAGCTATGTGGGATTTCGGTAGAAGGGCTTGCACCCAGAGTAGGCCCGTATTAACCCTTTTTTTTTTTTTTTTTTGGGGGGGGGGGTTAAGGTGTTTTTGTTTTTTCTAAGCACCTTCATGCCACAAGGCTAGCCTCAGTTTATAGAGGGTTCGTGGTTGGTTGTTTTGGGTTTTCGGTTTGAGGTTTGGGATGAACCCTAAATTAAGCCCTAAACTCCGAGAATCTAACCTTTTAGGGGATGCTAGCAATAAACACGAAGGCACTATGCAGGAGCTACTTGAAAGCCCAGGCATACCATATTTAGGTCAAGGTTCACCGTAAACGCTAAACCCAAACCCCAAACCCTAAACCCTACTTCGGGTTCTTCCCAATGTTCCTACGTTGGGATTACGGGGCGAGGGGCACAAGGTGGGCTTCGGGTCACCGATTCTACTCCCCATGAAGAACTTGTATAAGGGGGAACATCCCAAGGTCTTTCCCACTGTAGGGGTACCACTTTCTATACCCCAAATGGAGTGGTATCTTACCAACCCCCCTTTTTTCGGAACCTAAACCCTAAACCCTAGACCTTAAACTCTATGTCTTATCGCCAGGTACGTCATGCGGAAAGCTGCCGCTGTCACAACCGACCTCGCGTCGCGCTTCACGAGCCAGCTGACCGACTGGAAGGCTGGCTCCGGGTGTTGTGGGAGATTTCATGAGGGTTAGGGTTCTGGGGTTTGGGTTTGGTGTTTAGGGTTTAGGGTTTAGGGTTGGGGAATTCAGGTTTAGGGTTTAGGGGTTAATTAGGGTTAAGGGTTTAGGGTTCACCTGCTTAGGGCTTTTAGGCCTAGGATTTCGGGTTGAGGGTTTAGGGCTTGTGCTTCTAGGCCTATAATATTTCGGGCATTTAGGGCCGAGCGTTGGCTAGGTAGGACATTGGGATGTTTCATGGTCTCTTTTCATTGCCTTTGAGAAGAGCTCATGTCGAAAATTTTGTCAGACTATTCAAAGAGCCAGCCTTAGTCTCCGTGGATATGATGGGTGTGTGTATTATATATATATATATATGTGTATCTATATATGTCTATCTATCTATCTGTCTATCTATCTATAGCAATGTTCTGAGGACCCTGGTGCCTGTATTCCTACTAGACACCCACAGTCTTCTGTGGCGGTTTCCGATGCTATCCCCTTCAGTTTGGGCTTTCTGTTTAGGGTTTGCGGGTGGAGTAGGTCTCTATGGAAACCCCAAATGCCTAGACCCTCAACACCCAAAATCCTCAACCCTAAACCCTGAACGGCCTGGCACTCTTTCACCTGCAAAGCGTGCCTGCGAGTTGCTTGGGTTTAGGGCTTCAGAGGCAAATCTGGCGGACCTTCGCGGGAACCCTACACCCTAAATTGCCCTAAACCCTAGAACCCTAACCCTAGACCCGATAAACCCTAAATTGACCGGAAATCTGTCATCCTTAGCCCTAAACTACGACATTACACTCGAAATGTGAGCCCGAAACCCTAAACTAATTACCGCAGAGCACCCGAAATGTGAGCCCTAAACCCTCCATCCTCACTATCTTGGTACCAGTGTATCCTAGAAAGGTATAGTAAGGGTCAGACCATGCCTTCCTTTGTCGGAGCATCCTACAGTCGAGAGGGTTTGGGGGTTTAGGGTTGGAGGGTTAAGGGGTTAGGGTGTTTAGGTCATCGACAAAACCCACCACTGACGCGCCCCTCATAAGTCCTTGCAACGCCGTATCTTGCGGAGGTTCACATGTCGCCCGAACCCCCTGAATCAAACCCTTTCGGATGTTGGACCAGGGGCATATAGTGGCAAACCGGGTTTATGGTGTAGGGCTTAGGGCTTATGGTGGCAAACCCTAAAGCCTACCTGCGCCCCTGCGACTTAAGAGGTGATTCCTAGCCCTCGACCCTAAACCCCAAACCCTGCGAACGCGACAGGCCCTGGTGGAAGTATTTGGGGAGGGGCTCTACACCGAATTGGACTTTCGCAACGAGGCTGCGGGTTTAAGGAGATATGCCCTAAACCCTAATTAAACCCCAAACCCTAAAGCCTAGCCCTAAACCCTAAACCCTAAGCATCATGGAGGTCTTTTGGACCCTAAACCCTAAGCAACATGGAGGTCTTTTGGTCAGTTGACCCTTAAAACCGTGTGGAGGTCTGCGTATTTCGGATCCTCGCAGGGGTCTGGGGTTTTGTGGGGTGCAGTGCTCAGTGCGAAGGGGGAACTCCTATTCTGGGGAAGACTCAAATCAGACCCCTGGTGTGGAACTTGCTGATTCAGGTATACGCCGGGTTTAGGGTTGAGGGCCCTTTGAGTGGGATATGAGCCACCCCTGATTCAGAGGCTACGCCAAAAACAAGAACGCCTTGTGGCAGACTTCCATCGGAACCCATCTCTCGCGAGGAAGTGGTGTTGAAGGCAAGGAGGGGAAGAGCAAGGTCGCAGTACCTGGTCCTAGCTTCTCAGGCTCGCCTGTGCAGGGCCCAGTTTTGGGCCTCAAAACTGGGGTCTTTCTTCAGCGCAGGGCTTCAGCCCCTGCCCCAAAAAACGGGCCCGAAACGGGTCTGTCCAGTGAACGCTGTGGCTCAATTTCTGGCACTGGTTCGACTACGTTCGCCAGTCTTTGCTGGAGGCAAGGAGCCGTGCTTCCTAAACATGGACGAGACGCGGTTGGGAAGGCCTTGGAAAAAGTCAGCTGGTTTTGGCTGTCGCCGAAGATGTGCCCTAAACCCTAAACCCTAAACCCTAAACCCTAAACCCTAAACCCCAAACCCCAAACCCCAAACCCTAACGTTCCGCAAACTATGCGCCAGGTTCAGCAAGTTCAGTGGAGCCACAGCAGCCTTTGTTGGGTCGAAGGGTTTAAACCCCCCTAAACCCTAAACCCTAAACCCTAAACCCTAAACCCTAAACCCTAAACCACCCAAGCCCTTGGGGCTGGTGTTCGGAGCCTTGCCATTTGCGTGTGGAAGTTACAGGTTTAGTTTAGGGTTTAGGGTTTAGGGTTTGGGGTTTAGGGTTTAGGGTTTAGGGTTTAGGGTGTAGGGTTTAGGGTTTAGGGGGTTTTTGCTGGGCTCGAGGGATTAGGGTTGAGGCTTTGGGATTATGGGTTTAGAGTTTAGGGTTTAGGCTTAGGGGTTTAGGGTTTAGGGTTTAGGGTTTAGTGTTTTGGGTTTAGGGTTTAGGGGTTTCGGGTTTCAGAGCCGCGCGATTTAACCCGCAAACCCTCAGCCCTCAGCTCCAAAGCCGCAATCCTCAACCATACGAAAACCCTAGACGCTAAACCCTAAACACGAAACGCGATTTACATAGGGTTTAGGGTTTAGGGTTTATGGTTTAGGGTTTAGGGTTTAGGGTTTAGGGTTTAGGGTGAAGTAAAGCGCAATTCCTTTGTAGGTTGCCCTTTAATTAGGAAGCTGGGGGGGGGTGCCCTAAGGCTGCGATTAGCTTTACAAACGAGTTCTACGACAAACCTGGGATTTAGGATTTGGGGTTGTTTAGTATTTAGGGTTCAGGGTTAGGGTTTAGGGTTTAGGGTTTAGGGTTTAGGGTTTATAGGGTTTAGGCTTTAGAGTTTAGGGTTTAGGGTTTAGGGTTCAGGGTTTCAACACCACTGACAAGGCTTTGAACCAGCAGAAGATGAAGAAGCTCATCGAAGGGGAGCCTCGGTGCTCCCGGGTGGTCGTTCCGGAGGTTTTCATGGACCGGGCTTTGCAAAGCAGCTTGAAGCCTATAAACCCCAAGCCCTAAATCCTAAACCCTAAACCCTAGACCCTAAACCCTAAACCCTAAACCCTCAACCCTAAACCCTAAACCCTAAACCCTGAACCCCAGCCCAAAGCCCTAAATCCTGGGGGTTTATGTTTCCGCGGGTCGACTGAAAGGACCCAACCTTGTGAATGGAATACAAGCTATAGATCGCAAAAACGCGCGCGCTGATGCGCGCGCACGCGCGCGCCCCCCTAATGCGCAATGTGTGTGCAAAGCGCCAGCAGACAGTTCATTATGAAACAAGGACCACAGACAAAGATCAGTCAGCGCAAGCTACAGGCATCCATGGGTTTAGAGCTTGCATGTACGGGCTTTGCAGGGTTTAGGGTTTAGGGTTTAGGGTTTAGGGTTCAGGGGCTTTTCCCGGCAGGAATACACAAGCCGCCGAGTGCTCGTCTCGCAGTGGGTGGCTAGGCCCTCAGACAGGCCCTGACGCCTTTTTGCAGGGGGATCTTTTTCCAGGACCAGGAGTAGGCCTTTTTTCCTGTTTGTAAGGTTGGGGTTCCCTTGTAATCCCCTGAAAACCAAAAAGGGCACCCTTTTTATTCCTAGGTTACTCCCGGGTCTAGTTTTGTGGTTACCTGGTTGCCAGAGGGGTCCGCAGTTTTGTTCCCCGAAACCCTAAACCTAAACCCTTTTAGGCCTTTAAATGAGCGGCAGGGCTGTTAGTCGGGGCGTTAGGGATTTGATCATCTCAAGCAGACTACACAGCACCTCGGCACGACCCAGTATTTCCAATTCTGACACGGAAGATCGAAATTGGTCGATGCAGCTTTGCTCATGGTTCTTACACCTCTGCGCCTCATTGCAGTATACTTGGGTTTGAAGTGCGTAGTTCCTATATGTAGAACGAAACATTGAGGTACATGGATGCTCAGGGGTATGCTGCTTTCAGACTCTCTTACGGTAGGTACATGGTCCGTGAATCTGGTCCCTTTTCCGTCCTTTAAAGGGTCCCCTGAGTTGTACCGGGTATGTAGGTATATAAGGGTCCCCATTTAAGGGCCCATATACTAAGGGACCACGTAACTACCCTAAGAGACTCGAAGCGACCACTAGCCCACTAGAGCAACCCCCCACACCAGCCTGCAAGACCCAAGAGGCTATATGAACCCTAAGCCCTAAAACCCCTCCAGCCCCAAAACCCTAAGCCTCAGACCCTCATAAGCCCTAAACCCCAAACCCCAAACCCTAAACCCTAAACCCGAAAACCCCCAGAAGTTTCGGGTGTCGCCTTCGGTGAGGATGGGATCAAGCTGACGAATCTCTCGGCGGAGCAGATCCGCGACGGCATTGCTGATGCTCAGGTGCCTTTCCGGTCATCCTCAGGGTTAAGGGTTTAGGGTTTAGGGTTTAGGGTTTAGGGCGCTCAGGGTGTTCGTGAAGGCTTTCAGAAGCAGAATGGCATTTTGAGCATCTTAGTTTACGTTTATCTTGAACTTATCAGGGCATAGTATCGGTAATTGCAGGTTTAAGGCTGACCCCGAGGCCAACGTAGGGCTTCAGGACGTCACCTAGAAGAGATTAGGGGTTTAGGATTATAGGGTTTATAGGGTTTATAGGGTTTATAGGGTTTATGGGGTTTATGGGATTTATAGGGTTTATAGGGTTTATAGGGTTTAAAGGGTTTATAGGGTTTACAGGGTTTATGGTTGAGACAGATTCTGGGGTTTCAGGCGGTTTAGGGGTTTAGGGTTTAGGGTTTAGGGTTTAGGGTTTAGGGTTTAGGGTTTAGGGTTGGAGTCACTATCAAGGCGTGGAGCGACCTCAAGGCCTCCATCCACCAACCACTAGCCAAAGGTTTAGGGTTTAGGGTTTAGGGTTTAGGGTTTAGGGTTTAGGGTTTAGGGTTTAGGGTTTAGGGTTTAGGGTTTGGGGTCCATAAATCATAAACCCTATAAGCCCCATAAGTCCCATAGCCCTACAAGCCATATACAGAACCCTACAACCCCTGCAAACCCTTGCAACCCCATGAAACCTGAAGGAACCGCCCAAGCATAGCCAGGAGTGCTTCCTACATCAGCTGCTGACCTGGGGGCTCCGCGCTTAGTTCCGCTGGGGCAGTCCTGGGGGGAGGGTTAAGGTTTGGGGTTTAGGGAGTTCACATTCAGCGATTTCGCGTGATTTCGCATTGGCCTCTTGCACGCTGCGTTCTCTCTTTGCTTGTTCTTCAGCTTCAACATGGTACTAACGACGGAATGTTGTAACAACGTTTCGTGGCTATTTTTCTTTCTCGGGTGGGATGGGGGGTGGGGGGTGGGGGGTGGGTGGGGGGTGGGGGGTGGGGGGTGGGCAGTTGTCGGGGGGGGGGTGGGGGGTGGGGGGTGGGGGGTGGTGGGGGGGGGGGTGGTGGGGGGTGGGGGTGGGGGGGGTGGGGGGTGGGGGGTTTCACATGCACGTTTTTTGTTCTTCTGCAGTTCACACTGCCTCTGGCGAATCGGTTTTCCAATGACCAATTTCGGTGCTGCTGGGTCCACAGCTGGGAGTTAAGGATTGAAGGCTTAGGGTATAGGGGGCCAAACGAGTTCAGGTTGCAATTTTGGTGTCCTATAGGAGCAGTACGTAATGGAACAAAACAAGTAGATATGAGAGGGTAAGTACACTGAGTTCACTGAGCCCTGTGAGATTGCTGTGCCTGTTCGGAACAAGCTACTTCAAAGTTCCTTCCCGAAACCTTCTTTTTCCCTTGACAGAAAGACACGAATTTTCTTAAAAAAAACGTACGAAACCATCCCTGTTAGTGAGCCGCCGGGTAACCCCTAGATCTGCAAAGTCGAAGCCAAGTTACTGCAAGCAGAGCCGAAGCAGGGAGGACCGGGGTTTAGGGTTTGTTAAGGGTTTAGGGTTTAGGGTTTAGGGTACAGTAGTATAGGGTATGCCCCCAAATTGAAGGTTCGTTTGGTCCTCAAGGCGTAGTACCTCCCTAAGCCCTAGACCCTGAAGTTGGACTTTTTGGTCTGATCCACTGCTTAGACCCCAAACCCTAAAGCCGTAAACCCTAAGCCCTAAACTCTGAACCCTAAACCCCAAACCCTCTATATGTAGCTTCTAGGTACACTGAGCACCTGGATCTCGAAAACTCCCACAGGGCCCGACCTCGGGATTGGGTGCCTAAAACCTAAACCCTAAACCCTAAACCCTAAACCCAAATCCCTAAACCCTGTATGCTCAGGTTCTTCCACGGCGACCCACACCCGGGCAACCTCCTCTTGATCAACAGCGGGCCCGATAAGGGCAAGCTGGCCAGGACCCTAGAACCCTGGTTTGAGGGTTTAGGGTTTAGGGTTTAGGGTTTAGGGTTTCGGGTTTAGGGTTTAGGGTTTAGGGTTTAGGGTTTAGGGTTAGGGCTAGGCTTTAGGACTTCGGGATCATCACCCCAAAACCTGTAGATCCCAAATCCTAGAACCTTGAGCCTGCTGTCAACCCCCAAGCCAAATCCCGAAACCCTATAAGCCCCAAGCCTTGAAACCACATGGGGGGTTTACGAAAGTAGAGGACCCCACAGAGTAGGATTCCCATTTCATGAGGACCCCAATAAGGCACCCCGAGTACCGGAAACCCCCATTGAACCGTAGGTCATAAGCGGAGTACGGCTGTTTAGGGTTTAGGGTTTAGGGTTTAGGGTTTAGGGTTTAGGGTTTAGGGTTTAGGGTTGAGAATGCACTTTATGGCTCAGGCGTGGCGTGTTTGAGACTGTTCATAAACACAGGCAACCATAACCACAACGATGACGAATAAACCAATACTCCTAGAAATGCTAAGCATAGTGACAATAGCGGTCGTAAGAAGACGAGATAACAAGCATAGTCTTCATCAAACTCATCATCATAGTAATTGCCATAAACACTAAACCCTAAACCCGTAAACCCTCCCTAAACCCTAAACCCTAAACCCTAAACCCTAAACCCGCCACCCCTCTCACCTCTGTTGGGGTAGGCGGGCGCAGTCGAGCGCTCAGCGAGACCACGGCAGGCTCTGCTAGGCTGCAGAGCCTGCCAGGCACACTCCTGAAAGGGTCGCCAAGCTTGGTCGCCAAGCACTGTCACAGATATATTGTATTACCCTAAACCCCAGGGGGGGGAGCCTTTTTCAATTCCGGGTCTGGCTCTGGCCCTGGCCCTGGCCCTGGCCCTCCTGGCCCTGCTCTGGCCCTAATTCTGGCCCTGGCCCTGGCCCTTGCCCTAACAAGGTTGCTGGGTTGGGCCTGGCCCTAGGCCTGGCCCTGGGCCTGGCCCTGGCCCTGCCTGGCCCTGGCCCTGCTGACCCTGGTCTGCCTTGGGTCTGGGTTTGGTTGTGGCCTCACCCTCACTGCCCTACTGCCCTGACCCGCTCTGCTTGCCAGCCGCCCTTCTGGCTGCCTGGTCGCTGGCTGGCCTGGCCAGACCACGAATTGAAAGCAAACTCAAAAGGCAAAGCCCTGCAAATTTTTCTGGCGCAGACCGTCCCCTGCGCAAGATATCGCGACACCCGTTCCCGAATTTATCGATAACTAGACCAGCTCACTCCCTGAAATTTTCTATGATAGGGCCCTTCGGCCCAGACCGTCCCCTGCGCAAAACCTCACGATTCCGGTCCTTCACCTGTAAAAAACGTTCTCGGCTCCTTTTGCAAGGGAGTTGCCTTTCAAGCGACCTTGGCACTCCTCAACAATCGGAAACCTTTCGCGGCCCGGAATTTCATGAGAGGGCCTTTCGGTTCAGACCGTCCCCTACGCAACAGCCTGAGGGGGGGTTCCCGAATTTATCGAAAACTAGACCAGCTCACGCCCTGAAATTTTCTATGATAGGGCCCTTCGGCCCAGACCGTCCCCTGCGCAAAACCTCAGGACCCCGGTCCTTCACCTGTAAAAAACGTTCTCGGCTCCTTTTGCAAGGGGGTTGCCTTTCAAGCGACCTTGGCACTCCTCAACAATCGGAAACCTTTCACGGCCCGGAATTTCATGAGAGGGCCTTTCGGTTCAGACCGTCCCCGACGCAACAGCCTGAAGGGGGGGGGGGTATCCTCTGCCGCCATGACTGCGGCATCAGATAAACATGTGTCACGTGTGAATTTTGAATGGCTTCGGCTTGGTTTGGGCTGGCTCCGGTTTGGTTCGCAGTGAGTAGTGTTTGGGTGGTCTTGGGGTGGGCATGTCTGCACACAATTGCGTCCAGCTGACCACTGCTACACCCTAAACCCTAAACCCTAAACCCTAAACCCTAAACCAGTTGCAGGTTCTTTGGACCTCAAACACGAAAGACCACCTCAAGCATGCAAGACCCAAGCGCTGCCCTAAGGGTCCATGTACCTCATTCATTATTATGTACTTGGGCCCTAAAGTCCCCAAATAGGAGGTACTTTAAGGCCCAAGTATTCCCTCTTTAGGTACATGGACCCTTAGGGCTGCGGACGATCCAAGACCTTGGCGACTTCGAAGCGAAAGTTTGGTTTTTGGGTTCAGGGTTTAGGGTTTAGGGTTATAGGATTTAGGGCCCCCCCCCCCCCCCCCCCCCTCCTCGCAAATGCAATAGGCCGAAAACCCTGCATCAACAAAAACCATCGCTTCGCAACACAACGTACAACGGCACAACGAAGCAAGCAAGCAGCACCTAAAAAACCTCTACGCCCCATGAACCCCCTAGACCCTAGAAAGCTCAAGCCCTAAACCCTGAACCCTAAACCCTAAGCCCCCCCTTGAAGCTCCAGGTTCTCCTTGACTTCGGGTTGGTTGCGGAGATTCCAGCGCCGGGACCTCTCGGGGAGGGGGGGGGGGGGGCTGAGTAGTAGAGTAGGTAACGCTTAACCTTTTTGGGGTATTCTAATCTCTATCAAGACTCAAAGGTTAACCTTTAATTCCCCCAGGTTACCAGGGTTTGGGGGTTGGGGTCTAGGGTGTACGGTTTAGGGTTTAGGGTTTTTGGGTTGCAGGTTTGGGGTGATCGTTATTGTTACTATTGTTCTTCGCTGACTTATTTCTATTTTTGGCTTCTCATTTTTCTGGATAATGGATAGTATTTGGTATGACTCTTCCTCATACCTGTACTATGAAATTCCAGTATTGCTCTTTCTTTCATTGCGCTCTCACTCCTGCTTTTATTCTGATTCTATTATCTTTTTTTTGGGGGGGAGGGGGTGGGTGTTGTACAGGGTTTTCGGATTGAGGACTCAGGCTGAGATTGTTTGCTTGTAAGACGGGAGCTGGCGGTGGGGGTGTTTCCAGGGGGAGTTCAGGTGCAACCCTCAATCCTGAACCCTTTTTTGATTGCTGTTATCGTCCGATGTGGGAGGGGCTTTACACGGGGTTTTAAGGCTCCAAGGGTACATGGTCCCTGAAAATGGTACCTGACCTTCTCCAAGGGTTCTGACGTCTGAGCCCTTAGGGTTTACAGGGTAGAAAACCGGGTATGTAAGTCCCCTTTATGGACCCATATATGTAACTAGTTAGACTCAGAGCTTTTGAAGTCTTTGCTGTTCTTTTGCTTGTTGGTTTGTTTTACATTATAATTTGGTAGGGGAGCGGGGGGGAGGGTGCTTTCGACACTTTGGTTTGTTCGGACTTTTGTGGGGTTGAGCTGGTCAGGTCGTTGTGCTTGCAGGCTTCAGGGGGTTGAGGGTTCAGGGTTCATGGGTTACGGCTTAGGGCATTCTTGTTTGTGTATGGGCATTTGGGTAGTTAATCTTGGAACTCTTGAAGATGTTTCAGGTGACAAGCTTAGTAATGTTGCAGGCTCCCTGTGTCAGTGTGGTAGGGTTCAGGGTGTTGGGTTTAGGAGTTAATTCCCTAAACCCTGAACCCTAAACCTCTAAACCCCCCATTAACCCAGGGTTTAGGAATAAAGGAGTTTGGGCTTTGGCCTTGGCTCTCAGCACGGCAAGAGACACTGATGTCAGCTCTGCGGCCCATCGTCGATCCACTGGGGGCCTCCTGGAAGCAACCGAGAGAAGGGTTTAGGGTTGAGGGTTTAGGGTTTTGGGGTTTAGGGTTTTGGGGTTTAGGGTTTTGGGGTTTGGGGTCTAATTGAAGACCGAGTGCCCGAGAAACCCCAGCAGCTTGTGTTTCACAACAAGCCCTCTGAACTGTAAAGCCCGAAGCTCTACAACCCTGGGCCCTAAACTGAACCCTCAAGACCCTAAACCCATAAAGCTCTGCACCCGAAGATGGCCTCAACAAAAACCCGAGAAAGACCTCAAGGCCCTGAACTCGGTGGTCATGGTTGGCAACCTGCGCAATGTCACGGAGCCGTTCGCCTGGTGGCTTTACGTGTTGCTCGCGTGCCTTTGTGGGGTCTTTGCGGTGCTGGTGGAGTGGATATGTGTCGACGACTTCATCATGGAGGCTGCGGTCCTCATCCTAAGCATGATGCTGGGCAAGTGGTGTTCCTTCATGGATGCTGGGCTTGAGATATTTCAGCCCTAAGCCCGAGATTGCTTTAATGTAGACGGACTTTCTGACTGGCATTGAGAGGATCTTACATAAACCCTAAACCCTAAACCCTAAACCCTAAACCCTTAACCCTAAGCCCTAAACCCTAAACCCTAAACCCTAAACCCTAAACCCTAACCTAGGACATGCTCCGCGCGGCGTGGAGCTTCTTGGGGAAGGGCGAGTTCTCCATGGGGCGGAGACGCGTGAAGCCATGTGAGAGTCCATCCGAGCACCTCCAGGATTAGGGTTTAGGGTTCAGGGTTCAGGGTTCAGGGTATAGGGTTTAGGGTTTAGGGTTTAGGGTTTAGGGTTTAGGGTTTAGGGTTTAGGGTGAGAGTCCATCCGAGCACCTCCAGGATCAGGTGCGGGTGGCTTTCTCTTCGGGGGTTTAGGGTTTGGTTCAGGGTTTAGGGTTCAGGGTTTACAGTTCAGGGTTTAGGGTTCAGGGTTTAGGGTTTAGGGACTAGGCTGGAACCTACACAAGGTATGGAAAAGAAGGATCCAGAAGAAAGTGGGCTCCTAACTAAAGCTAGGGTGGATATCTGTTTTATTCTAGTCCTGTTCAGTTGCCTTGATCATCAAGCCAAGCAAAAGTGGGATCTCGACAAAAGGTTTTATCTTGAGCCCTGTGAAGCCGCAAACAAGGGTACTTAGCCACTGAGCCTTAAATCCGACCCCAAACCCAAACCCCAGAACTCCAAGCCCCAAGACTCTAAACCCCAAACCCTAAGTCCCAAACCCTAAACCCTACACCCTAAACCCTCTCTATAGGAGACATTAGGGGCTTGCCTGCGCCGGCTAGGATGACGCTGGTGCATGTGAGCTCACTCGGGGCGCCGGTACCTTCCAGCACCGCTATTTTCTGGAGTCGCGTGGTCACGTGAAGCAGGGTTTATATTTCTGTTTTTGGTGAGTGTATATAAGGCTCCGTTTTAAGAAGCCCTACTTCACATGATGTTGGTTTCTGAAGTCGGGTTTAAGCCTAAAACCCACTTGAACTGTCAACCCCACCCCACCCCCCCCCCCCCGAAGGGTCCATGTACCTCAACGGTACATACTTGGGCCCCGAAGTCACCCTAAACCCTAAACCCTAAACCCTAAACCCTAAACCCTAAACCCTAAACCCTAAACCCTAAACCCTAAACCCTAAACTTGGCTGGCCAAGTATGCCGCATGTAGGTACATGGACCCTGAGTTTTCAGTCAGTCGAACTCCCTTAGAAGTCCGCTCGACAATTGTACTTCCATAAGGGTTTACATGTACTGGCGCTGTAAAGTAGTGTACAATACCAGAAGGGTTCACTTGCAGCAGTGCTAGGAAATATGGCACCGCAAGGCTACTCCACAAAGCCTAAAACCCTAAATCCGAATTCCATACTTGTATTGTCTGAAAACGCATACATACATGCATGCATGCATACGTACATACAAACATATATACACATATATATATATATGTATATACCTGCTTACATATGTGTACCAAGGATGTCGAACCAGAAAGGGTCTAGGGCCTAGGGTTTGGGGTTTGTGGACCCTCTAGGATGCTTGCAGGATTCAGAGTTTGTCGATAGTCGACCCCTGGAAGCGCAAGTTTCGGGGTTTTTAGGGTTTAGGGCTTAGGGTTCAGGGTTCAGGGTTTAGGGTTTACAGAGTTTAGAGTTTAGTTAGGGTTTAGGGTTTAGGGTTTAGGGTTTAGGGTTTAGGGTTTAGGGTTTGGGGTTTGGGGTTTGGGGTTGAGGGCTCCTTGCCACTTCAGCCAGCTTAGGAGACTGAAGTCTGCAGTGGGGAAGCGCAACCTTCGCGAAGCCGAGCTGTGCTTTGCAGAGGACCTGACGCCCTAAACCTTAGACCCTATGCACCCTAGACTCCTAGACCCTCAACCCTACACCTTAAACCCGAAACCCTAAGCCCTAAGCCCTAAACCCTAAGCCCTGAGCCCAGAGCCCCGAGCCCTAAACCCAGCGAGGTGGCGCGCACCGGCCTCCCACCAGGCATTGGGGCTTACGCCATGCTGGCGAAGGGCTGGGCCAGGGCTGGAAATGTGCAGTTCGCCCGGCACCTTGGGGACGATTTAGGGTTTAGGGTTTAGGGTTTAGGGTTTAGGGTTTAGGGTTCCGTGGGGGGGGGGGGGGTTAATTATGGTCCCTCTTAAACCTTAATTAACCTGGGATGTTCCCCCTTATACTAACAGTCCTTAGTAGGGATTATCGTACCCCCGGTTCTAATCCCTATTAAGGGCCGTTAGTTTAAGGGGAACATCCCAAATTAAACCTAAACCCTAAACCCTAAGAGGTTATAGTAGTATAGGGGTTTCTGCCGCCAGTTTTTGGCCTCATTTGGCACCCAAGGCAGTGGATTTACAAGATGCTAGCAGATGGGTATACACCTCCAGACGACTGCTACTTCTTCGTGATCTGCAGCTCATGCAAGGCACCCTAAACCCTTAACCCTTAACCCTAAACCCTAAACCCTAAACCCTAAACCCTAAAACCCTAAACCCTAAACCCTAAACCCTAAACCCTAAACCCCAAACCCTAAACCCTGAACCCTAAACCCTAAACCCTAACCCTGTAAACTATAAACTATAAACCCTAAACCCGAAACCCTAAACCCTAAACCCTAAACCGAAAGGCAGGTGACTTAGATGATGCGGAGCAGCTTCTGTCCAGCCTCGACGCGGTCGGCGGCACGGAGGTCGTCCTCTGGCACGGCCTTCCCGCCACTTGTCTTCCTCCTGGCTGGCTCTCAGGGCTTGAACGGTTTACGGTTTAGAGTTTAGGGGTTAGGGGTTTAGGGTTTAGGGTTTAGGGTTTAGGGTTTAGGGTTTAGGGTTTGGGGTTTAGGGTTTAGGGTTAAGGGTTTAGGACCTTAACCTCTTGGGCTCTTGTAGAAGCTACCATAAGGAGCCTTCAAAAGTTAAACGTTTATGAGGGGCTAAGAAGTCGGCCAAGGCCAAAGCTGCGTCCTATGCTCTTCTCAGCCAAGGCTGGGTCAAGAAGCGGAACCTCAGATCGAACTCATTAGGGTTTAGGGGTTAGGGGTTTAGGGTTTAGGGTTTAAGAACTTTCAAATCTTCATGCTCTATAGATCCTATCCTAACCATATATCGGATTCCTAAACACTATACCCAAAGGCCCCAAATCGCATAACCCTGAACCCTCAACCCAAGACCCGCTCCTCATCCTCCAAGGAATTTGCAGAAAGCGCAGGCATCCTGGCAGCCCAGTGGTACCCTTTTGCCCTGTTCGTGTTTCGGGTGAAGGGTTTAGGGTTTGGACTCAAGTTTAGACCTAAACCCTAAACCCTATACCTAAACCGTAAATTTAAGAGCCTCCGGCTCAAGCCGCCGACCCCGCTGGAGCATAGTTGAAAGGTTTAAACGCGCTCGTCAGCTCAACGGATGCTAATAGTTGATTTGCTTGAGCCTCTGTGAAACGTTGGGGGGGGGGCGGTAGGGGGTAGCACCAGGACCCCAACAGGAGCAGCGCGGGGTGGGGGAGGGGGGGGGGGGGGGGGTGGGGGGGGGAGGGGGGGGGGGGGTGGGGGGGGGGGAGGGGGGGGGGGGGGTGGGGGGGGGTGGGGGGGGTGGGGGGGGTGGGGGGGGTGGGGGGGGGGTAAGAGGGAGGTTCACCTCCTTTTCCCATCCAACACGCCGCCAGGGTCGGCGGACCCTAAACCCCAAACCCCAAACCCTAAACCCTAAACCCTAACCCCAAAACCCCAAAACCCCAAAACCCCAAAACCCCAAACCCAACCTATACTTACTGGGCTGCCAAGGACTGGTTCTCAAGGATCGTGGAGGAGGGCTACCGGCCGACAGAGGGATGCTACGTCTCCATGCGCCTTGCCAGCATTTAGGGTTTAGGGTTTAGGGTGTAGGGTTTAGGGTTTAGGGTTTAGGGCTATTATACCTGATAACCCCTTAAAAAGGGCCCTTCATTGGGTCGATTGTGGGAACTATAGGGCCTAATGGCCCATCCTGGTAGAGTTTTGCCCTAAACCCTAAACATCCCTGAACCCTTGGTGGTTGGTAGCGTTTCGGGGTAGTTTATGGGTTTCGGGGTGTTGAGGGTGTAAGGTTTTAGGGTATTATTCGCTAACCACTCGAAGCCCGCAAACCCTAAACCTTGGGAAGATGGTGGCATTTAGGGGCTGACTTCTTTTTTGCTGTTGCGAGTCTTCTTCTCCGATTTTGACATTTCGACCCTATGCGGTGTTGCAATTGTCGTTTCGTGGCGTTTGGGTTCGGGATTGTTCCTGACCCTAAAGGTCCATGTACTTATGCATCATATACTTCGGCCCTAAAGCTACTATATGGGAAGACCCTTTCAGGCCCAAGTATATACTATGTAGCTACATGGACCCTTAGGGAAACCCTAAACCCTAAACCCCGGCCCAAACCCCAAACCCCAAACCCTAAGACAGCTACTTTTGTTTTTCTCCGAAGACAAAGCCCAGGATCAACGGACTATGCCAGGTTCGCGAACTGGAGGCTGCTGAGACGCTGCTGGTGCCTTGGCTTTCTTCTGGCTGGCTCTTAGGACTTTAACGGTTTAGGGTTTAGGGTTTAGGACTTTAACCTTTTGGGTTTTTGTAGAAGCTACAATAAGGATCCTAAAAGTTAAAGTTTTAGGAGCTCAGAAGTCAGCCAAGGTGCAATGCCTTCAACATTCCTTCGAGGAGCGTTCGGAAGTGATGGCTGCCACCATGCTGGCTCCTTTCTTGAGACAGGGTTTCGGGTTTAGGGTTTAGGGTTTAGGGTTTGGGGTTGAGACTACATGAACCCTACAAGTGGGAGAGCTTAGGGTGTTCCCCCTTATACGAACAATCCTTAAAAGGGATTATCGTAGGGGGTACTACAATCCCGATTAAGGACTCTTAGTATAAGGGGCGGGCATCACAACGCATACCTTTCGTTTATCGACAATCAATATGAAGATAGATAAATGCTTCTGATCTTCATGTCGCACTTTATTGCCCTAAACCCTAAACCCTAAGCCCTAAACCCTCAACCCCAAACCTAAGCCAATTAAGGTTGATGCCTACGGCAAGATCGGGGATGTGGACGGCGCGGAACCTTACTGTTGGATAGTAGGGCCTAGAAAACCCCCTAGTTTAGGGTTTAGGGTTTAGGGTTTAGGGTTTAGGGTTTAGGTATCTAGAGGGATATAAGGTACCCTATAGAACCCCTAAAGGGTACATATATATATATATATATATACATACATATGTATATATATATATATATATAGAGGGATATAAGGTGCCCTAAAGAATCCCTCAAAGGGTATAAAAAGGGCTCATTCCCTACTAACCCCTAAACCCTAAGCCCTAAACCCTAAACCCTAAACCCTCAACCCTCAACCCTAAACCCTCAACCCTCAACCCTAAACCCTAAACCCTAAACCCTAAACCCTAAACCCTAAACCCTAAACCCTAAACCCTAAGGAGCGGATCATGGGCTTGATGGACGGGGCGGGCCTGCGGGCCTCCTTGGTGAGCTTCGGGGCGGTGGCTAGGCTGTTGAGTAGTATACATATATATATATATGTATATACATATATATATATATGTATATATTACAATCTTCTATATATACATATATCTGCTCATTTAGTTTGTTAAATAAATATACATATATATATATATGTATATGTTGTTTTACTTTCTTGGGTTCTGGGTATCCTATATTTGGCAAGTAGCCCAAAAAGGTATGTCCTTTTTTCCCTGGGTCAATGAAAGCCCAAGGTGATGAATGCGTGTGCCAAGGCAGGCCAAGCACTGAAAGCAGCGCAATGGCACCGCACCCTGGTGAGGACTGGCTTCTCCCCCAACGCTTGCACGTTCACAGCCCTCATCAAGGCGTTTGACAAGGCCGGGGACGTCGAGGGCGCGTTCCGTGCCATGCAGTCAATGGAAGCAGCGGGAGTGACTGCCGACGCTTCGACCTACAGCTGCCTCCTACACGCCTGCGCAAAGCAAGGGCAAGTAGAGCGGGCGAAAAAGGTCTTCGATCTCATGCAGGAGCACCACATCCAGCCAAATGCCGTATCCTACAACGTCCTCGCACTAGCCTTCGCCAAGCAAGGCATGTGGCGCGAAGCTGAGCTCCTAGGCGAACAGTTGGAGCAGCAAGGGCTTTGGATGAACCAGTGGTTCCTCTACGCTCTGCTGCTGTCATACGCAGCTGCGCAGCCCAAGCAGGCAGCTAAGGCAGAAGCAGCATTTGTTCGCGTCATGAAGACAGGACAAGTCAGAACCAACAAGCACATAGTACAGGGACTCCAGCGTGCAGTCGGGCGCTCTCGCGCTGGGCTTCTACTTCGAGCCACGTACGCTGATCTATAGATGGTCAGCGCTTCTATGTTATGATCCCTTCGTTGGGGGCCCCCTTTCGTAGCGTTATCGCTTGTATGTATGTAGGTATGTATGTATGTATGTACATACATATGTATATATATATATATAGAGGTATGTATATATATATATATATATATATATATATATATATATATTTTGTACATACATATATATATATATATATATATAGTATTATCTTACACATTACATTACATTATATTTTAGTATACTATATTAAATTATATTGTGTTATATATATATATATATTTTTAAAGTGTGTGTATATATATATATATTTATTTATTTATTTATTTATTTATTTATTTGTACATGTATAAGGGTGCCCCTCCCCCTCCCCCCCCCCCCCCCCCCCCCCCCCCCCGCCACGCAGAGGGACCATAACGCGGAGAAGCGGCCAGGTGCCTGAATTCGCTGATATCCAGCTTCTACCCATGCTGTGGATGCACTGCGGCTCAATGAGTACCCTAAACCCTAATCCCTAAACCCTAAACCCTAAACGCTAAACCCCAAACCCTAAACCCTGAACCCTACAAAAGACTCAGGTGCGGCATATGGGGCTTTACGAAAATCAGGGGGAACCTCTACAGTAGACCCCCCAAATGGTAATATTCCCTTCTAAAAAGGATCCCAAGAAGGTGCCCCTAATTTCGGAAGCCCCCACATCGATGGGTTTAGTCAGAAATTTGATGGTTGAGGGTTTATGGTTTCTGTTTAAGGAGTTAGGTTTGTGGGAAGGGTTCTGGGCTCAGGGTTGAAGTAGGGTTTTTCAGGGTTTATATACTATGTATTGGGTTCAAGCCAAAAACCCAGAGCTCTAAGAACAAGCATGGGGGTAACCCACTGGCGCGAGCCGAGCGACAGTGACCACAGCATGTGTGTGTGACGTCGAGGCCCGCATCATGGGCGGACGTACACTCTGGCTTGGGATGTTCCCCCTTATACTAACAGCTCCTTAATGGGGACTAGCATATAGGGGACACTAGAATCCCTAGTAAGGACTGTTACAATAAGGGGGAACATGCCAAAATATGGCATGTAGACCCGACGCAGGAACCAAGAAAGACATCCACTTGTGGTCCAGAAAAGACATGCTGAGCAGTTGCATTCTGCAGCCTAGGGTTGTACTTCATCCTCATACTGCAGAGTTCGGGTTTAGGGTTTAGGGTTTGGGGTTTAGGGTTTAGGGTTTAGGGTTTGGGGTTTGGGGTTTAGGGTTTAGGGTTTAAGAAGCCCCAACCATTCCGTTTGGACCCGGCGTCGGGATGACTCCTATGACAGGGAACCGGCTGCGGTTGAAAGAGGTGCGTTTCGGGCTCAAGACACAACCACGTGAGCTTATGGTTTAGGGTTTAGAGTTTAGGGTTTAGGGTTTAGAGTTTAGGGTTTAGGGTTTAAAGGTTTGGGGTACAGCGTGTCGGGTAGCAGGTCGCGGGGGCGGTTCAATTTGGAGCGGCGCTCGACCTGTCATCTGAGTTGTGAAACGGAGACTGCGAAGCACCTTAAGCCCGGAGCATCCCAGCCTAAACCCCAAACCCTATAAACCCTACCCCTAAGGGTCCATGTACCTCATTATTATGTACTTGGGCCCTAAAGTCCCCAAATAGGAGGTACTTTAAGGCCCAAGTATTCCCTATTTAGGTACATGGACCCTTAGGGTACCATACTAAGGGCCACATGGTTGCAACCTTAGATTATGGTGTACTGGGTAGTGCTAAGCTCCCGGAACCGAGGTCGCAGCGTGACCAGATCATCACGGCCGTCATCCACGTAGGTGGGTGAAGGGGGTGGGGGGGGGTTTAGGGCGTTGGGGGCTTCATGTTGAGGAAGCCCCCAGCCTGGAATACACAGTGCCTGTCCCCCCCCGAAATCCTAAACCCTATTTACTAACCCTAAAACCTAAACCTAAGTACTAACCCCCAATCTCGCACCCCAACCCCCCCCCCTCCCCCCCAAAAGGGTGGATCCCTAAACCCTAAACCCTAAACAATAAACCCTAAACCCCTAAGCCCCTGAACCCCTGAACCCCTGAACCCCTGAACCCCTAAACCCCTAATCCCCTAAACCCTAAAACCCAAAACCCTGAACCCTAGCCGCACGCCGCAGGCACCATGAACTGGGAGGGCCTCATCGACGACTTCATCGCGCTGGGCTTCCTTCCCGAGGACATGCCTCGTCCCAAACCCCCGAGTTTAGGGTTTAGGGTTTAGGGTTTAGCGTTTAGCGTTAAGGGTTAGGCTCTACCTAGAGAAGGGTTTTAGGCTCTACAGTGTTTGGTAGCCTTGCACCTGAGAAAGAAGTAAACACCAAAAAAGTCAACACACCTTTTCTTTCGTAAGAGTACATCCGCTACTCTAGGCAGGGCTGGGAGGGCTTTGCCTGCAGGAGCTATATGCCTATGTACCGCCCCATACCATTATACCTGAGCCCTCAAGCCTAAACCCTCAACCCATGACCCTTATAATCCCTAAACCCTAAACCTTAATCCCTATTATTAGGGTTTGGGGATCAGGGTTGAGGGTGCAACAAGGACCCCCCCCCCCCCTTGGGCTAAACCGTAACCCCTAAGAATAAGATGCGAGGTACCAACGCATTCAGGCTTGTGGAGGGGAGCCTTCGGGAACTTAGGGTTTAGGGTGTAGGGTTTAGCTTCAAGCAAGCAGGGTGTGGGGTTTAGGGTTTGCTTAGGGTCCTAGGGTCTTCGGGTCTCCGGGTCTTCGGGCTTAGGGTTTAGGGTTTAGGGTTTAGGGTGACTACCACTGCAGGACTGTGATCGTGCGACCATCATCCCGGTGATGCAGCGCGCCGGGGGGCTCTGATAAAACCCTATGAAACCCTAAACCGTGAGGCCTTCAACCCTAAACCGTAAACCCTAAACCTTAAGCCCTAAACCCACGAGAAACAGGATACCAAACCCTAAGCCTAAAAACCCTAGACCCTTTAACCCTTGAACTCTCTGAACCCAGAACCCCCGACTGGACATGTCCGCGAACTGATTCTAAGGTTGGAACCACGGGCCCTTAGTATGGTTCCTTACCCTTTCCTTTCGTAAAGGCATAAGGTATATATGGGTTATATAACAGAGGACCCAAATTGAGGGTGCATACTTCGGAGCCCCTATTGATGCTAGGAGCCCCGGACTTAGGTTTTCGGGTAGGGTTTTTGGGTGGAGAGCAAGCATGGTTGTTATCAAAACATTAAACCCTAAACCCTAAACCTTAAATCTCCTTATTTGAAAAAATGCCTGAGACCCAAGCCCCTGCCCCAGTGCTCAAGCATCCGGCCTTTGGTGTTAAGCAGGTCCAGGGGTTTAGGGTTTAGGGTTTAGGTTTTAGTGTTTAGGTTTTAGGGTTTCGGGTTTAGGGTTTTAGGGTGTTTGTCTCGGATCGTTCCTCCTTTGCTATGAGTCTCCACCGAAAATGCTGTTTAGGGGGCACTTGCATGAATACCTTTGGTGGCCTCCATCAGGTACTGGAAGGGAATCTTAAAAACCTATAACTGTAAGCCTCAAACCTTAAAACTCTACCCTAAACCCTACTCTAAACCCTTAAAACCTTAAGAACCGTTGGAACTCTTCAAACCCCGAGAGCCTGAGACATCCTTACTGCAACTAGCGCCAGTGACCCTCAACATACCCTTCAGGTTTGGGGATTAGAGGTTTTTGTGTAGGGTTTAGGGTTTAGGGGTTTTGGGAGAAGGATTTAGGGTTCAGGGTTGAGGGTTTTGGGTTTGGGGGTTTAGGGCCTGGAAGCCCCCCAAAAACACATGGCCTGGGGTTGCTGCAGCAGCGAATTCCCCTAAAGCTCTAGGGACTCTTCTTCTGGAGTTGCGAGTGCCCAGAGACCGTACTCTTCGAGGTGTTTGAGAGCTCGCCGCAACCCCCGAGCACTTAACGCTAAACCATAAACCCTGAACCCTTAAAACCTAAACCCCCAACCCTAAACCCTATAATCCTCATGCACCCCCCTCTCAGGTTCTGCAGCCCAAGCCCGAAAGCCCAAACTTCAACTCGAAAGTCAGTTTACGGCTTAGCCAAAACCCTAAACCCTAAACCCTAATTCCCCTGCACCCACAGCATCCGCAGGTTCTGAAGCCCTAAACCCTAAACCCTAAACCCCAAGTTTCCAGGTGAAGCCCTAAACCCTAAACCCTAAACCCTAAACCCTAAACCCTAAACCCTAAACCCTAAACCCTAAACCCTAAACCCTAAACCCTAAGTTTCCAGGTGAAGCCCTAAACCCTAAACCCTAAGTCCCCAGGTTCTGAAGCCCTACCTCAAGGGAGGCGGCGCCAAGGCGATGAATTTCTCGGCGCTGGGGTGGGGGCCGCCCAGATCTAGGTGAAGTTGCCGGGGATGCCCCTTGTGATGGTTTAGGGTTTGGGGTTTAGGGTTTAGGGTTTAGGGTTTAGGGTTAGGGTTTAGGGTTTAGGGTTTAGGGTTTAGGGTTTAGGGTTTAGGGTTTAGGGCTTAGGGTTTAGGGTTTAGGGTTTATGAGGCTCAGGGTTTATAAGGTTTAGGGTTTCAGGTTTAGTGTTGTGGGGCTAGGGTTTGAGGGTTGTTTCATGGGCCCGTAATATGGTTCCCTAACCTTCTTGAAAGGGTTGTGATGTACGGGCCCTTGATGTGTATATAAGGGGTACCTGAGGGCCCATACTAAGGGATCGTGTAACTACCGTTAGAGTTGAGGGTTTGGGTTTAGGGTTTAGGGTTTCGGGTTTAGGGTTTAGGGTTTAGGGTTTAGGGTTTAGGGCGAAACCTCGAAAGCCCCTTAGCAATGTAGACCTTCCCGACATATGAGGTTTTGTATGTTCGGGGGAGTTATGGTTTTCCACACTTAGACTACTTGGTGGCCCAGTGGTACCAGTTTGCCCGTTTTTTTGGTTCTAGGTTCCCTTGTGAGCAACGAACCCCCCCCCAAACAAAAAAAGGGTACCCTTTTTATGAGATGGTTCTGGGCCACGAAAACTGT